CGTGGATTGTTGGAAGTTATGAACTGCAAGAGAGAGAGAGAGAAAGAGAGAGATTGGGACTCAATGTACCACGGATGTGCTCCTGAAGAAAGCCAAAAGGACTCAAAAGTAAGTTTTTTTCTTAAAGGAGGAGCTAGCTTCAGAAACCGTTTAAATTTTATCTCTGCGCAAAAAAAAAAATCATGCAAAAAATGTAGACCTATAATTGCGTTTCGAACTTCAAAAGAGTATTAGCCTATTAGCCTAAACCTATTAGTTCTAAATTTGTCTTTAAATTAGCTAAATATTCTGCTTCGGAGTTAGGATATGGACACCTCTAAAGTTGCAGTAATGATCAGTGGCGAACATGGAATATATATTTATACAAACTACAGTCAAATTTCCAATAATTTCCCTTTCGTAAGCGGACAGTTCTACCTAAGGACACTTTTTTCAATTCCTGTTGTGCCTCCTAGTCAAACTCTGTATTTATACATTCCCGTAAGCGGACATTCTCTCGTAAGTGGAAGCGGACACTCTTGATAGCAAAAATTTGATTTTTTTCTTTTGTTCACGCTTTCTCGTAGGTGGACACCCCATGCAAACTAATTGATTCTCAGCAGTGAAATTTGTCTTTAATATGCAAATATGTAAATCAAAAAAAAAACCTTCGACAGGGCAATAGGACAGCGGGGATCGGTTTTGTCAAATCTCCATTTGTCCGCAAGAAAGCAACCTGTCTATTCGTATGACATCATTAACACTCGCCCGTAAGCGGACATCCACCCTATTTTTCTCTGGTGTCCTCTCGCATGATTCACGTAGAGGGGCAATTCTACCAACGGACACTATTTTAATTCCCGCGGATGTCCGCTCACGAGAGAGTTGATTGTATACATTTCTTGAGAAAAAAGAAAAGAAAAAAAAATAAGCGTTAAAATCCTTTTTCAGTCAGTACAATATAGAGAGCAAAGAAAAAACAAAACACAACATTTTCGTGAATTAACCTTAGTTGCACCTTACTGATCAAATTCTGATTAACATACTTTCCCTCTATTTCAAATTCTTAGAAATTTATCCATACAGTTCATCTCAAAGAGCCACAGTAGTCTTTCAAATGTTTAGTATTAATTGTTGACAACAGAGGGAAAGAGAGTTTAAGAGATGACAATTTTTTGTGGAAGTCTTCCAGCACACGTCATTTACCTCAAGCAATCTTCTTTTTCAGCTTTAGTATCGTGTTTTTGTAAGAAGCATTTCAACCCCACGGACAAGTTGGATCACGAAACACCAAAGGTACCTTATATGTAACGGTGAAAGAAATAGAATTTCAATCTGAGACTTGTCAAAAGTGTCAAGTGAAAATTTCTGGTCAACTTTCATGAGGATTCAAACCTAAGATCTACCTATTATGCTGTAAATGACCATAAGGATTCAAACCTTAGGCCTTAAAACTTCACCATCTGCTCTACAAGCCGGGCAGAAGAAGAAATTTGGGTAGAACGTTTGTGAGGATTCAGATCTCATTCAAAATCACTTCACCATACTTTTACGGCAGAGTAGAAAGACAACGTAAATTTACAAGAGGATTCAAACCTCAGACTTTGCAATATCGGTATCAAATGCTCTACCAACTGAGCTGAGATTGAAAGGTGTTGGTCGACCTTTAGTAAGAAATTACGCATAAGACATGTAAAATGAAAGTTCCTGGTCGACTTTCATGAGGATTCAAACCTCTGATCTACCTAATTTTGCCGTTAGATACTCCACCTGCTGATGTATACATACTTCGTTTATACAGAAAAAAACCCAGCTGGGTCAGTGACCATAAGGATTCAAACCTTAGACCTTAAAACTTCACCATCTGCTCTACCAGCCGGGCAGAAGAAGAAATTTGGGTGGACCATTTGTGAGGATTCAAACCTCATTGAAAGTCGCTACACAATGCTTTAGCGGCAGAGTAGGAAGACAAAGTTCAGAGTAAACTCACGTGAGGATTCAAACCTCAGACGTTGCAAATATCGGTATCAAAGGCTCTACCAGCAGAGCTGAGAAAAAAAGTGTTGGTCGACCTTTGCTAAGAAATTACAAGTTAAACGTGTGAAATGAAAGTTTCTGGTCGACTTTCATGAGGATTCAAACCTCAGATCTACCGGTTTGCTGTTATATACTCTACCTGCTGAGGTATAAAAAACTCGTTCAGCTATTGTTCTTTTATTTGCATTTCGTTTTCTACTTGAGTGTATGATCAACAGGTTGTACAGATACAGTTTTGTTCTTTGCTGGAGGGAAACACCTGATCAATTCAAGTTGGTTTTCAAGCCAGCGATCTGGGTGACCAAACAACAAGACTTTACACATGATGAGAGCTGCTTACCTGATCAGGTCAGGATTATATTAAAGATATCAACAATTCATGAAGTATGGTTGAACTGTCCCAAAAGCATTAAACTCGCTATTTTTAAGTACAGATATCAAATATACAACTGAAATTTTGAATCAAAACTGATGGAGAACTGCAAGTATATTTCAGTAACAATCATGAAATGTGTATTTTTGGAAAAGAAGAAAGATTAAGATAAAGATCATATTTAAAAGCTTCACATTTAACACGGAAAAATGATAAATTAACAACGAAATTAAAAATATTAAACCAAAACAAAGAGACATTTCTATGGAATCGATATTCCTTGCTATTGCTAGTTACACTGATCAAAGAAATTTCTGTAAGAATTTCACTTGATGTGCCACAAAAAGAAAAGAAATGCAGCCTTGCATGCAGTAGACATATTTCCCCTCTCTTTCAAATTTGTGGTTATTTATTCATGTTTTTTTCTTATTTGAGACTTCCCGATTTTTTTTTAAATATTTATTTTTTGAATATTCATGGAAGGTAAAAATTGAGATTAAAAGGTTTCAATTTTATGTGGAAGTCTATCGGCACAAGTCATTTACTTCCAGCAATCTTCTTTTTCAGCTCGAAGATCTTGTTTCAGACAAAGCCACATCCTTCCCATGGGACGAGTCGGATCACAAAGGGCTAAAGGTACCTTATATAAGATAGTAAAAGGATAGCAAAATTACAATCTGGGTCCCTTGTGAGGATTCGAACCTCAAGCAGTCAGCCCAAACAAGGCGATCCCAGCTGGGTGGAGGGTTTCGTGCGCTTCACTCAGTGCTTGTTTATTTTCACGTCCCGAGGAGAGGTGCAGTGCAGATTGCCCATACTTCGGTCTCACCCTCTGGTACCTCGGCATAAGCTCGTATCGGTTTTGTTTATATGTTTTTGATTTTTTACTTTCTTTTTTTTTGATACGAGCAATAAGCCGTTAAATAGGTCTCAAACCCGGAGGCCAGACCCATTTCAGGTGTCGGCTGTAACCACCAGAGGACTGTGTCAGTATTCAAGCGGGGATTGTATTTGTTCTTTTTCTCCGGCACATGGACATTCGAAGTCAAAGAATACAAGAAGTATAGCCGGTTAAAGGAGTATCTCCTTCTTAACTAAATCACGTAAAATATTATAGCATTCGTAGAACACAATAACGGCGACTGAAGCTTCCAGAGCTTAAATTGAGAGGGGCCACAATAGCTAATTGTCTATGTTGTGCAGTCCAAAATCTGTTATGTCTCAGAAACATTGCGCAACAAACTTCTTGGTAAACTCACGTGAGGATTCAAACCTCACACTTTGCAATATCGGTATCAAATGCTCTACTAGCTGAGCTGAGGAAAACATTGTGGTTCGACCTTCGTAAGAAATTACTCGTTAGACATGTAAAATGAAAGTTTCTGGTCGACTTTCATGAGGATTCAAACCTCAGATCTACCGATTTTGCTGTCAGATACTCTACCTGCTGACGTATACATACTTCGTTTATACAGAAAAAAACCCAGCTGGATCAGTCACCATAAGGATTCAAACCTTAGACCTTAAAACTTCACCATCTGCTCTACAAGCCGGGCAGAAGAAGAAATATGGGTAGGCCATTTGTGAGGATTCAAACCTCGTTCAAAATCGCTACACAATGCTCTTACGGCAGAGTAGAAAGACAAAGTTTAGGATAAATTCACTGAGAGGATTCAAACCTCAGACTTTGCAACATCGGTATCAAATGCTCTATCAACTGAGCTGAGAGACAAAAATATATGTCGAACTCTTTAGGAAATTACAGTCACGTTAAACGTGTGAAAAAAAGTTCTGGTTGACTTTTATGAGGATTCAAACCTCAGATCTACCGATTTTGCTATCAATGACTATAAGGATACAAGCCTTAGACCTTGAAACTTCACCATCTGCCCTACCAGCCTGGCAGAAGAAGAAATTTGGGTGGATCATTTGTGAGGATTCAAACCTCATATCAAATGGCTACAAACTGTTTTTATGGCAGAGTAGAGAAACAAATTTAAAGGTAAACTCACCGAGAGGATTCAAACCTCAGACTTTGCAATATCGGTATCAAATGCTCTATCAATTGAGCTGAGAGACAAAAATGTGTGTCGAATACAAGGAGGAGACCATCATGTGCGACATAGCATTCCTCCCCCCTTAAATCACATTCTATTAATAACACACAAGTTCAGTTCAGTTACAGGTTCAGTCTCTCTGGTGGCTTCCGTAGCCGAAGGGGATAACGTCTGCATGGTGGTGTTGCCGGACTGCTAACCATGGTCTCGCTTTGGCTGCTGGGAGGGTTGTCAGGGGTGGTGTCCACATGTGTATCTTTGGTCCATGGTTCCCCCATGCCACTCATAGTGGGAGCCTGTAATTCTTCATTCTCCACGCTACTTGCTGATTGTGGTGTTGCTGCCAACACCGCTGGGTTTAATCGCGGTATGTATTGTTCCTTATTAAAGTTTGGAGTCACTGCAGACTCTGAGTTGATCAACATGCCGTCGCCATACTGTATTGGGTGCGACCTTGACTTCATATGACAAGGGTCCCGAGTGAGCTGTGATGATTCCCGGAACCCACTTATTTCCAGCTCTGTAGTTTCGGGCAACGACAGCTTAGCCTAACTCTAGCTTTCTGGTAGGGCTGTGAATTGACCGTAAATCTTGATCTTGTCTTCCACTCGCTTCCGTAAGTTAGGCTTCAGTATAAACCTTGTCCTGATGTTTCTCCCCATGAGGAGCACGGCTGGTGTCTCTCCAGTCAAGGCATGTGGGGTTGATCTGTAGGCCAGCAGAAAGTTTGCCAGCTTCCAAGAGATAGATTTCTTTTCCGCCAGCGCTGCGCGGAGAGCTTGCTTGAATGTCATTGCATTTGTGGCTGGGTGGTACGGAGCTAACTTAATGTGCCTAATACCATTACTTCGCATGAATTCTCCGAATTCATCTGCTATGAATTGAGGTCCATTATCACTTACAAGCTGTTCTGGCAAGCCGTGTGTGGCAAAGAGCTTTCTTAGTTCCTCAATTGTTCTGCTGGCAGTTGTAGTGGTCATCGGTATCACTTCGGGCCATTTAGAATGTACATCTACAACAATCAGAAACATAGTTCCTAAGAATGGGCCAGTGAAGTCAATGTGGATGCGTTGCCATGGTCGTGCCGGCAACTCCCATGAGTAGAGTGGAGCGGTCTTAGGGTTGTTCTGGGTAAGTTGACAGCCAGTGCACCCCTTTGCTACTTCTTCAATTGCTTTGTCCATCCTTGGCCACCACATGTAGCTCCTGGCCAAGGCCTTCATCATAACGATTCCAAGGTGGCCCTCATGGAGCTCAGCTAACAGTTGTGCCTGGTGCTTGGGTGGGATTATCACTCGTGAGCCCCACATAAGACAGCCATCCTGTATGGTGAGCTCATCTTTCCTCCTCTGAAATGGCTCCAGCTCCTTCTCACTAACAGTTGGCCACCCTTGCTTTGTGTTTTCCATCACACGTGACAAAACTGGATCTCTCTGAGTTGCTTGACGGGTCATATCTGCATTGACTGGCAGCACTTCTATCTGGGATACTTGAAAAATCTCCACTGGGTCAACCACTTCCTTGTCACAGGCTTTCTTTAGAGGTAGGCGTGACAATCCATCCGCGTTTCCATGTTGGGTTGTGTTCTTGTACTCAATACTGTATTCAAACCCTGCTAGAAACAACGTATAACGTTGCAAGCGAGCAACTGTCATTTCTGGTATTCCTTTCTTAGGATTAAAAATTGAGGTCAGGGGCTCATGATCTGTCACGAGTGTGAAATGACGACCAAACAGGTAAAGGTGGAATTTCTTGACTCCCCAAACCAAGGCTAGGGCTTCTTTATTAATTTGGGAGTAGTTCCTTTCTGCTTTGGTTAGGGTACGTGATGTGAAGGCTATGGGTCGCTCTGAGCCATCCTCAATGATGTGGGATAAAACTACCCCAATTCCGACCGGTGAGGCGTCACAGGCTAGTCTCAATGGCCGTCCAGGATCATATTGGGTGAGCACCATATCTGATGTGATCAGCTTCTTTACTGAGTGGAAGGCCTCCTCGCACTCTGTGGTCCACTTCCATCGTTTTCCTTGCTCCAAGAGTCCATTAAGGGGATTGAGTGTGGTGGCAAGGTTTGGCAAGAACTTGTGGTAGTAGTTTACCAGGCCTAAGAATGAACGGAGGTGCTGGACATTCTCTGGTCTTGGGGCATTAACAACTGTATGAATTTTCTCTTGAGTCTTGTGTAACCCGTGCCGATCTACTTCTCGCGGTTTGCTCGTAAGCCATTTGCCTGTAGCCTCTTCAGTACTTCCTCCAGATTTTCAAGGTGCTCTTTGTCATCTTTTCCTGTGATAATCATGTCGTCTAAGATGCAACTAGTTCCTTCGACCCCTTCTAAGATTTGATCCATAGATCTCTGCCAAATTGCTGGGGCTGAAGTGATCCCGAATACCAGGCGGTTGTATCGGTACAACCCCTGATGGGTGTTAATCGTCAAGTACTCTTCTGACTCTTCCTCCACTTCCATCTGATGGTAGGCCTGTCTGAGGTCAATCTTGGTGAACTTCTGCCCTCCTGCTAGCTTAGCGAATATGTTATCGATGCGTGGGAGTGGGTATTCCTCTGTCTGAAGCTGGGGGTTAACTGTGGTCTTATAGTCGCCACAAATTCGAACTGTGCCGTTTGATTTGGCAACTGGCACAATAGGCGTCGCCCAATCGCCGAATTTAACCTTGTGTGGTATGCCTTCTTTTTCTAGACGTTTCAGCTCCACCTCGACCTTAGGTTTCATGGCGTATGGGACAGGCCTTGCTTTACAAAACTTTGGTTGACTGCCTTCCTTCAACGCGAGTTTCCCTTTGGCTGACTTAAATGTGCCCATTTCATCCTTAAACACCTCACTATAGTCGTCTATGAGTCTCTCTAATTTCTTCTGGGTGTCTTGTGTCGCCTGTTCTTTTGAAATAGCACAGATCCTTTCCCAATCGAGTTGTGTCTGGTGTAGCCAATCTCTTCCAAACAACGCCGGCCCTTGTGTTTTCACTACATATAACGTTAAGTCCTTGACTTAGTTGTTGTGTTCCACGCGAACAAGTAGTTTGCCTTCTGGTGTTATCTTCTCTCCTGAGTAGGTTTTCAAAATAGCGGTGGTGTCAACCAGAGGTGTGTTTGGGAAGGTTTCCTTATACGTCTCCAAGGGGAGTGTAGATATCGCTGAACCTGTGTCTAGCTCCATCTTCAGTGTGTGGCCATTAACTTTTGGTTTCACCCAGATGACGTCACCAACTACCCCATGGTTAACATTGTTGACTTCTAGGGATGCCACCAAGCTATCATCAATGCGCTCATCTTCTACCTCGAACGAGTGAAGGTCGGGGTTCTCGTCCCTTCGTCTTCGGGTAGAGTTCTGACCCTTTTCTGAGCGGCATACTCTTTGGATATGGCCTACTTTCCCGCATTTTTGTATGTTTCAATCCTGAAGTAACACTCAGCTGACTCGTGTGTACTACCCCCACATCGATAACACTGAGATTTTGATTTGACATCATCTTTCCCTTTAGGAACTCTTTCGCTATCCTTGTTTATTTTGTTGACTTCAGACTCTTTATTAATGCTACCCTGCAATTCTAGTGGTTCTTTCGCTGCCGCTTCCATTTCTGACGCTTTGGCCAATGAAAAATCTGGCTCGGAGAGCAGCCGTTTCTGGATAAGTTCATTGTGTAGTCCACACACTAGTCTGTCTCTTAACGCGTCATTCAAGTTAGTTCCGAATTCACAATACAGCGACAATTTCTTTAATTCAGCAAGGTATGAACTTACGGTTTCACCTTCGAGTTGGTTCCTTTTGTGAAAGCGGAATCACTCTGCTATGAGCAGTGGTCTCGGTGACAGATGCTTCTGTAGTGTTTCTACGATAGTCTTGAAAGACAGGCTGGATGGCTTGGCTGGGGCGGCCAAATTGCGTAGTAATCCATACGTTTTGTTTCCCATTAAGCTTAGCATTACGGCCACTTGCTTGTTGTCCTTGATTTCTTTGGCGATGAAGTATTGCTCTAGACGTTCCACATAGGCGCTCCAATCGTCGTTCGTTTCGTCAAACGCTTCAATCTTTCCAATCGGCATAGGTTTAGGTATGGTTGGTAGGTAGGTAGGTAGGCAGGTAGGTAGGTATAGGTAGGTCGAAGTTTCTCTGGTTGCTGCGTAGGATCTAAATCCTCATCGCCAATCTGTTGTGTCTCGCGGAATTGAAGGAATCAAACAAGTACAACGCAACAAGGTTTAATCAAACATGGCGGTTCACATTCAACGACAGGCGCACATGGCGCGCGTGCGCATAATAGTAACAAAACCGCAGACCATCACGTGCGACATAGGAGAACCCTTTAGGAAATTACAGTCACGTTAAACGTGTGAAATAAAAGTTCTGGTTGACTTTCATGAGGATTCAAACCTCAGATCTACCGATTTTGCTATCAATGACTATAAGGATTTAAGCCTTAGACATTAAAACTTCACCATCTGCCCTACCAGCCGGGCAGAAAAAGAAATTTGGGTGGACCATTTGTGAGGATTCAAACTTCATTCCAAGTGGCTACAAACTGCTTTTATGGCAGAGTAGAAACACAAATTTAAAGATAAACTCACTGAGAGGATTCAAACGTCAGACTTTGCAATATCGATATCAAATGCTCTATCAACTGAGTTGAGAGACAAAAATGTGTGTCGAACTCTTTAGGAAATTACAGTCACGTAAACGTGTGAAATGAAAGTTCTAGTTGACTTTCATGAGGATTCAAACCTCAGATTTACCAATTTTGCTGTCAGATACTCCACTAGCTAAAGTATACAAATCTCGTGCAATTATTTTTCTTATCTCATACTTGGCATTGTATTGTGTTTGCTTCTTGGTGGCATGAAATGTTTGCCCAAATCAAGTTGGTATTCAAGGCAGGAAGCAATGAAGGGGACTAATCAGAAAAGGTGTGCATGCAAAGAGTGCTGCTTAGCTGTTCAGGTAAGAATGAGATACACCGATTGTTGATGAAGTATGTACAAGCTGTATAAGTTATAAAATACGTTTATCTCTGTAGTTATAGTGAAGATGTTGGCTGTAGCTAAATACCATCCCTTGCATAAGTTGATTACTGCAACTGTGGCACAAGTCATTTACCTTAAATACTCTTCTTTTCAGTTTGAAAAGCACAATGCAACTTACCTAAAGAGGACAAATTGAATGACAGAAAGTAAAGGGTAAGGTAGATGTTATGCTAGAGTAACAGGATAAGAAAAATCACCAACCGCTTATTTTCTGAAGTTGAAAGAAAAGAAACAAAAACAGTAATAACAAAAACTATAATGTCTTTTAAAAAGAGGTAAGACATTTTGTCACGTGCTCCTTTTCCGCCGCAGAACAAAATTGTGTCCACATGATTAATCAAATGTTTCAGCCGACGAAATGAAGCACTGTGTTCGAAAACTGTCGGTACAGACGTACTTGCTCTTATCCTATTAAAGTTAGAATTCGAAACTCACAGCCTACAAAGGCTCGAACTCATGAAACACACTCATTGACACGCACAGATAAGAGTGAAAAACATTGCTAACTGAATGTATGATAAAATAAAATCTTTGAATCAAATTAATCTACACTGCTTCTGCTAATCAAACGAAACTTTGTTCAAACTGACAGTCTGTGTCTCATGTGTCTTTGCCTTCGTGATACGACATTCTTCTTCTCTATTTCTTTCCAGGTGCTTTTCTTTGCAGGGTTTGGATTGAACCCGTCTTTTACTTCCTGTTCAAAATTGACAATTAGGAAGCAGTTTAATTATTGTGGTTTTTACGCATCATGCGTTTGACAACAAGGAAGCAGTTTAAAAGTTGCAGTTTCTATGCATCATCTGTTTGCCAACAAGGAAGCAATTTAAAGTTGTGATATCAATACATCATACCCTCGACAACAAAGAGGCAATTTAAGAGTTGTGGTTTCTATGCATTTGTTGAATAGAGAAGATTCAAACAAGGATGTCCATAGGATGTAATTTAAAAGTTGTGGTTTCTATGCATAATGTTGCTATCAACAGAGAAGTAGTTTAAAAGTTATGGTGTCTATGCATCATGCGTTTGTCAACTAAGAAGGAGTTTAAAAGTTACGGTTTCTATGCATCATGTGTTTGTCAACAAGGAAGCAGTTTAAAAGTTGTGGTGTCTATGCATCATGCGTTTGTCAACAAGGAAGGAGTTTGAAAGTTACGCTTTCTATGCATCGTGTATGTCAATCAGGAAGGAATTTAAAAGTTGTGGTGTCTATGCATCATGTGTTTATCAACAAAGGAGCAGTTTTAAAAATGTAGTGTCTATGCATCATGCGATTGTCAACTAGGAAGGAATTTAAAAGTTGTGGTCTTTATGTATCATGTTGTTATCAACAAAAGAGGGGTTTAAAAGTTGTGGTGTCTATGCATCATGTGTTTTCCAACAAGGAAGCAGTGTAAAAGTTGTGGTGCGTATGTATCATGTGTTTTTCAACAAGGAAGCAGTGTAAAAGTTGTGGTGCCTATGCATCATGCGTTTGCCAACGAGCAAGGAGTTTAAAAGTCGCGCTTTCTATGCATCGTGTTTTTCAACTAGGAAGGAATTTAAAAGTTGCGGTTTCTATGCATCATGTTTTTATCAACAAGAAAGGAGTTAAAAATGTGTGGTTTCTATGCATCATATGTTTGTCAACAAAGAAGCAGTTGAAAAGTTGCGGTTTTATGCATCAAGTTGTTATCAACATGGAAGCGGTGTAATCGTTGCAATGTTTATGTTTATGATCATCAAGGAGGAAGCAGTTTTTAAAGTTTCAGAGTCTTGATACGTATTATATGATCGTCGAAAAGGATAATGATAAGTAATGGAATATATAAGTTTGCTAAGAAAATAAAGGATAAATAGATCAATCTAAAACTTATGAATAAAGGAATAAAGATGAAACAACTAAAAAATAAATCAACTATAAACAAAAAAATATATA